ATATAAATATATAAAAGTATGTTTATGTGTGTCCATAAAGGCCATGGAAACACCATGAGATGGGATGGTTCTGTTCAATGAGATTCATAACTAATGTCAACCCATGAAAGTTTGTACTATCTAATAATTATATCTTTGGCATTGATAATTAGGAAGCTATATTCTCTATTTAAGGGCAGAATTATTATTTTAGTTTTGTATGTGGAGCCTGCAAAGAGAAAATATACAGAAACAATTTTTTTATTATCACCTTATTATATCCAATTTTTTACTTGGAGAAAAGAAAATCTTGGGGAAATGAGAGCAGGTCGCTTTGTCCAGGCTGAAAAGGGAGGGCAGAGTTCTGAAAACCTAAGTTGCACTTTCTGTTGAGTCTCATCAACTTTGAGGTTGAAGTCAGGAACCTAAATTTGAAACTTTTCTGTGGTTGTTTCTAGACTTCAGTGGGATTCTGGTCAGATGCAGATCGACTTTTCACCAGATGAAGGTGGCTTAGTATAATAATGAGAACAATAAGATTTGAGATGTTTGCACCTTTGCTCTTGATTGTTCATGAGAAGGCGTGCACTTGACTTCTTGACTTCTGACAGGCATCCCTGTGTTTTCCTTTTCCTTAGGACCGCCTCAAAGGACTGGGAGGTGTGAAGGATTCCCTTTTTGTTCTCCATGAGCTGGGAGAGCAACTCAAGCAGCAAGTGGATGCTTCCGCCGCATCAGCCATTCAGTCTGACCAGCTCTCCTTGAGTCAGCACTTAAATGCCATTGAACAGTCTCTGTCCAAACAGCAGACCATGTTCCAGGTACAGAGTTCACACCGAGCAGATGGTAGGAAGTGGTGATGTGCTTGGCGTAAGTAGGGGAGGAGAAAATGCTCCCATCAGTGACATCATGCCTTTTTTCAAGACCAAAGAACTAACACACTAAGATCAAAGGTTTTTGAAAGAGCCAATGAGAGTGGGGTCTAGGGATGGACATTGTTCTCTCTAATGTAATTTAGCTCCTAATCCGAGCCTACCTCCATGGTACTGAGTAAAGTACATCCAACTAGTAAGCATGGCGTGCCTTTGGCATTAATATACATGTTTATAAAATTCAAGTTTTATTTAGGACCACTGTATTTTTGATAGTTTGACTGTAAATTTGACAAATAACATAAATTGATTATTTGATGAATAAAACTTCAAAATAACCCTAAATTTTAGAAAAAAAAATTAATAAAAGAAAATTTAAATAACTGTAGCCTTGGGATTTTTTTTAAGGAAATAGTATCTTTAGAAAAACAATTTTATACATAAATAAAAACAATAACAATACTTAGAAAATATATTAAAATAATCTTTAATAGCTCTTGCCCTTTTACTTGATTTCTAAATACTGTTTTTTCTTTTGTGGGGGGGAAAAAGGCTGGAGTTCTTGACTACGAGACCTTTGCTAAGAGTTTAGAAGGTCTGGAGGCCTGGATAGTGGAAGCGGAAGAGATCCTACAAGGACAGGACCCTAGTCATTCATCTGACCTCTCAACCATTCAGGAGAGGATGGAAGAACTTAAGGTAAACGTGTTAAAATATGAATTGCATGCACTCAATTGTCTGTCCGTACAGCCTAAGGCAAAGGCACAACTCCTGACATAGAACTGTTCTCTTCTGGGCTCAGTCACCTAGAAAAGTGAAGTGTTTGTGGGAGGCTCACAAGAGAACTGAGGCAGGGCCAGCTGCAGAAGACTACCTCACACCTCCTGTGGTCCCCGTCATCCCTTCTTAACGCCCAGTTGGTCACTTCCTGATGACCTCTTGAACTACCATCTCCTCTCTGCTCACCCTGCTCTGTCTGTGGGCCCCTCCAGCATCCTTCCACAGATCCCAGGGCCCCTCCCACAGCCCTCCACGGATGCCCGGGCCCCTCCCGTGGACTTCCACGGATCCTTGGGCCCTTCTCACAGCCCTCCACACAGGCCCACAGCCCTTCCTTTGCCTCCATCTCCCTCCTGCCAATCTATTCCATGCTGACATAACAAAATAGAGGGTTTAAGTTGTTCAATTCCCCCCTCCCCATTTAGGCATTCAACTTAATGATAAGCATTCTCAAATGTTCAAGAAGGTAAATAAAATGATATAGTAGATACATAACCATCAGTCTGTTCTTTCCCACGAAAAACTCTCCGTGGCTCCTCATTGCTCTTACAGTAAATGCCAGCATGTATTGTCAGACGTGGCATAATCTGACCTTCCTCTGTCTCCCTAAGGGTTCTCAACTTTTATTGATAAAATCTTGTTGAAAAATATGTACCACAGCACATACATAAACTCAGTCATTTCTTCCTATAAAATGCAGTGACCTTGGTTAAGTTCTTCAGATTGGGAAGCCATTCCCAGCCTCCTCTTTTAATTTGCTTCCCCTTCTTGATGTACAGTTACTTCCCCTCTGAGCTTCCTTTCGACTTGCTCTCCATTTGTTATCACTTTGATCCCATATACAAAGTCCTCTGAAAGGGGAGAGTGCTAAGGGCAGACATTCTTTGCTAGCTAAAGTCATGGTTGGCTTGAAGAAGACCAGTGAATATTTTTGGCTTAAGATTTCAAGTTTAAAAACTATCTCAGGGCAATAGCTTCATGGATTCATTTAGTTTTCTGTTCATTCTTCACCACCTTTAGCAAGAATTCTTTTCGTGAAGAGTAATTGGGTAAATAAGAGAATACACATAAACTACAAGGCAGTCAGTGGAAGGTTTTGCTTCATGCCCTAACAGTAGCTACGGCAGCAGCAAAAGCTGGCCGATGAGAATCCAGCCTGACTTTCCTTTGTTTCTCTGAAGATTGAGAGAAAGCTGCCAAGAAATGAACACGAGACGAAAAGACCAGCCTCTCCTGAGCCAGACGTGGGTGGTGGGCTTGACAAAGCTCTCCCTTCTCTGACCTTGTCTCTAACTCTCGGTTTCAGGGACAGATGTTAAAATTCAGCAGCATGGCTCCAGATTTAGACCATCTGAATGAACTGGGGTACAGGTTACCCCTGAGTGACAAGGAAATCAAGAGGATGCAGAACTTGAATCGCCACTGGTCTCTCATCTCCTCTCAGACTACGGAAAGATTCAGGTACAGTGACAGGCATGAGGAGCCCTGGCAGAGGTCTTCACCTATGTTTATCTCTTCATCCATATTTATAAAGCACTTGGTTGCCAACCGAAAGGTTGGGAGTTCAAGGCCAGCAGCTACTCCACGGGAAAACTAAGTGGCCATCTGTTTCTGTAAAGATGTATGGCCTTAGAAATGCAATAGGGCAGTTCTACCAGGTCTCTATAACTTAGAATTGACTTGAGAGCATTGGTTTTGCTTTGGGCTAGCCAAGAGATGATTTTGGTTTCTCTAGAATACTTGTAGGTTATAAATTCATAAATTTTGTGTGTTTACCAGTGCTTAGTGTTTCCAATAAGGTCAACAAAATTTAAAATTAAAGCCGGAAGAATTATATATAAGGGGACTCCCATGCATGGTGTACTAAGTATTGTCCCAAGGCCAAGGAATGAGAAGATATTGAGTATAAGGAGCTCTAGTGGCTTCAGGGTTAAGAATTGTACTGTCAACCCAAAGGCATACAGTTCAAATCCCCCAGCAGCTCTATGGAAGATGGGCAGTCTCCTTCCATATGATTAACTGCCTCTGCAAACCTACTGAAGGCTCAGTACAAGTATATCTTTTAAGCCTCCGGAAACCCTATGAAACTGGAGAGAGGGTGAAAGGCACCCAAGCGTCGAGGACTCTCCTTCATAGGGTCGCTATGAGTCTCCTGCAACTTGACGGCACTTAACAACAACAACAACATTTAAAAAGTATTTATGTATTTTTATGTGTCTGTGGGAGTTCTGGTGGCCTAGTAGATAGGGAGTTGTGCTGTGAACCCAAATGAAAAAGTTCAAATCCACCAGCTGCTTCATGGGAGAAAGAGAGTTACTCTTCATTCATGCAATTTAGTCTTTGAAAACCCTTCTGATGGGTCAGCTGTGAGTTGGTTCTCACTTAATGGGACCTAACAACAACAAATACACACATACATTTACCACCTAATAAAAAAGCTTTGTGGCAGTTAAATTACAGTAAGAAACAGGATGCTTAGGCTAGTTTTGTATACAGAGTCCTAAGAATAAGATATATATATGGAATAATATAATAACTGGATTTCTCATCTCCCCTCTGTTCCATCAGTAAGCTGCAGTCATTTTTGTTACAACATCAGACTTTCTTGGAGAAATGTGAAACTTGGATGGAGTTCTTGGTTCAAACAGAGCAGAAGCTGGCAGTGGAGATCTCAGGCAATTACCAGCGTCTCCTGGAGCAGCAGCGAGCTCACGAGGTAAGTGAGGCCACCAGCTCTCGAGGGGACAAGTTGGACACCTGTAGGAGATGCTTCCAAACATGACAGGGAGGAGCTGGGCCGCTGACACAGGCGCCAAGTCAGGTCTTGGTCTTGTTTGCATTTTTACCCCCTTTCTTCGGCCAGCGGCTTTGCTGTCTTGATCAGAGTCATGTGGTCCGGTTTTCTGCCGCATAGTCATAATAAGCGCTCTGATTGCAAACCGTCAAAGGTAGAAAACTGGCGAGACCCTGGTGGTCTAGGGTTAGAGCACCCATCTGCTAATCACAGGTTGAAGGGTGGAAGCCACCAGCAGTGCTTTCTCCCCTTGGGAAAGATATGACACAGGCTCCAGTAAATGTGTTCAGACTTACAAACTCGGGGGACTCATATCAGTTCCTTCCTTCCTCCCTCCCTTCCCTTCTCCTTCCTTCCTTCCTTCCTTCCTTCCTTCCTTCCTTCCTCCCTCCCCTCCCCTCCCCTCCCCTTCCCTTCCCCTTCCCCTTTCCCTTCCCCTTTCTTCCTTTTTCTCCTTCTCCTTCTTCCTTCCTTCCTTCCTTCCTTTTTCTACTAGTTTGATTACAAAATTCAAATACAAATTTGAACAAATTCTTTCAATTTCCCTTATTTCTTAAGACACTTGATCATAAACTGCTGTGGTTCTGCTGGGTCAGATTTGTCTGACCAGTTGGGGGGTTTAATTTTGGTTTCAGCAGGAGCTGAAAACAAATGTGAAGTAATTAATAATACATTCAGAATTGCTTTTGGGGACAATGCAAACATCCTAAAATTGACTGTGGTGATGGTGACACACGCTGTAAATATACTGAAAACCATTGACTTGTACACTTCACACAGCTGTGTGGCTTGTGAGTTATATCTCAATGGTGGTGTAAATTACAATGGGAATCATTGAAAAAACCTCCTGCTGAATTGAGTTTGTTTGTTTTTTTAAAGTGGTGAAAGAATTTTATTTATCTAATTATATTGGGAGGAGAGGATCAAAACCAACCAAACCACTGCCATCAAGTCAACTCTGACTCAGCTGAGCCCCCAGCAGGTTTTCAGAGACTCGAAATTACATGGAAGGAGACTGCCCAGCTTTCTATTGAGGAGCCACTGGTGGATTTGAACCACCACTTTTCAGTTAAAATGACAACTCTCTCCCCACTAGGACACGAGAGCTCCCCTTGTGTGACCCTAGAAGACTAAGTACTTGAGCAGAAGTGGTCTGTAGGACCTGTCAGTGACTTCATCTTTCTTGGATCTCCAGTCACTACACTTGGTATCAGCAGTTAAAAGATCAGGAGATGTCTTACACTGGGAACAGCTGCAGTCAGGAACTTCTCCAAATTATTGAGGAGCAATGATGTCAGTTTGAGGACTAAGGTGTGCCTGATTCAGGCCATGATCTTTTCACTCACTTACTATGCATCTGAGAGCTGGATAGTGGATGATAAGGATGACAGAAGAAGAATTGATGCCTTTGAACTATGATGTTGGAGAAGAGCACTGAATATCCTGTGTACTGGCAAAATAACAAACGGATATGTCTTGGAGAAAGTGCAGCCAGGGTGCTCCTTCGAGGCAAAGATTATAAAGCTTCATTTCACATACTTTGGGCATGTTACTGGCAGAGGCTATTCCTTGGAAAGGAACATTATGCTTGGAAAGGTGGAAGGTCAGCAAAAGAGAGGAAGACTCTCATCTCAGCCAGGCGCATTGACATGGTGACTGCAGCGGTGGGCCCCGGTGTGTCAGGAAGTGTGAGGATGGCACAGAATAGGATACGGTTCAGATCAGTTGCTGATAGGGTCCCTATGAGTTGTACTCAACTTGATGGTCCCTAACAACGGCAGCAACGTAGGGCCTCCAAGGCTGTAAATCTTTAGAAAGGTAGACTGCCTTGTCTTCCTCGCAAAGAGCAGCTGGCTCCTTTAAACTGCTGACTTTGCAGCTAGCAGCCAAGAAGTAATGACTTTTTTAACACGTTGCCACAAATGACAGTGATACATTGAAGGAAAAAAAATGTGTTTCTAAGCACGGTCATCAATTTAAAAGTGTGCGGCAACATGTTTTAAAAAAAATTTAAAAAGGAAGAAAAGGTATAACAACATAGAAATTGTTTTCTTTCCCCCATCCTCCTTCTTTTTTTTTTATTTTATGATTTTTTTTGTGTGTGTACCATCAAATCAGATCTAATTGGTACAGGAGGAGATTGCCCCTCCATCTCCAGCGGAGCATCTGGTGGATTCGAACCATGTACCTTTGGGATTGCAGCACAGCTTCTTGCTACTAGGCCACCAGAGCTCACTCCATCCTCTTTTCTTAAGCTTCTTGGTTGCTCATCTTTCTCTCAGAGTCAAACCACCAGAGAGGTGCAGTCTTCGGGTTAACAGGGCACCTCCCTAAAGACGACCCCACAGACCTGAGTTTATACTCCATGCCTTAAAAAGAAAGAAAAAAAAGGGTCCATATGCTGCATATGGAAGACTCCAAAACTGGACACCAACTCCACTGTGAGTTGCCTTTGAGAGGAAGAGAGAAATACCATTCTGCTTTTCAAAAATGGCATTTACTTTGTTGTTGTTCAGTCCCACGGAGTCAGAACCGGCCTGTGCCTGGCCCTCCGGCAGGTTTTCAGAGGCAGTGAGTTGCTCCGAGAGGAGACTGCCCATCTTGCTCCCACAGAGCAGCTGATGATTTCAAAGTGCACACCTTTGGGTTAGCAGTGCAAGTGGCAAGAAGCTGTGCTGCAGTCCCAAAGGCACGTGGTTCGAGGCCAGCAGCTGCTCTGTGGAAGAAGGAAGACAAATCTCCTCCCGTGTGACTAACTGCCTCTGAAAATCCATGGGAGGATCAGCTATGGGTTGGTTCTGACTCTACTGCCCACAACAACAACAAGAAGCTACCAGAGCTCCCTCCATTTACATTTAGCGTTTGTTTGATGTTGTTAGGGGCCCTTAAGTGGAGTATGACTCACAGCGACCCTATGAACTAAAGAGCTACGTCCCTCTTCAAGGGTATCTTAATTGTTTTCAAAAGGCAAAGAGTCCTGACTCTACTGCAGGTTTTCATAGGGCTGGAGATGTGTTTCATAGTCTTGTTCAGAGCAGGATATTTGGAAAGTCGGTGGAGAATGGGTCGCTACAACTAGGAGCTCTAAAGAGTGTTTCTTTTTTTTGCTAATAGTTGTTCCAAGCGGAGATGTTCAGTCGGCAGCAGATTTTGCACTCCATCATCGTTGACGGGCAGCGTCTTCTAGAACAAGGTCAAGTTGACGACAGGTAGGATGTCGGCCGTATTATCACATATTATCATGAAGGATAGTACCATCCTGGGTGTTTGTAATTTTCTTTTTAATGAGCAGATTGGAGGACACAAGCCCGGTCTTCCTAGGACAACTGCATGAGAGTGGAGGCTCCGTAACTGGAGTAAAGGCTTGTCTGTGTCTCTGACATGACTGAGTATTGAATCCCTATAAAGAACTGCTCTTAGCTTGTTTGAAGGACGGAGCGTAATTGGAAACCACCTCGCCAAGCCCTCAGGGGTCCTCTGTCAGGGCCTGGCATTAAGGACTAGATCAGAATGAACTATATCAGTGAGTTGCTAAACAGATGTTTCTAATATCCTTATAGAATTGCGGAGATTTGGTTTCTAAAAGGAGCTTAGCTCACGGTAATACATCTCTCTTCCTGAGAGATGAAAAACCTGAGGCCCGGAAACGTGAACTGATGTGCTCAAGGTCTCGTAACCCGGCAGCAGCTGAAACTGGCCTCCGGCCTGTGAAGCTAAACTCTAATCAGTATTAAATTATACCAGCCAGGCTTCTCATGCTGCCTGTGTTCTCCGTGCTCAAAATAATCCTTTTCTTAAGTGACGCCACATTCAATACGAAATCCTACGTTCTCTTCACTTACCCAGCACATTATCTGTTGAAACTGCAGAGCTAAAACCTAATTCTTTGCCCACTTTCTGGCATGTGAATGAATGGTTTAACATCATATTTGCATTTCCTTGAAACAATACTTAGTTCATTCTATGTTCTGCACTGATATTTGGGCTGTAAGACCAGCTTCTCACTCGTTGTTTAGAAGTGGCCTCCATAGAATTGTCAATGGCTGGTTTTTCTTTTTTTTTTTTTAATTATTATTAAATTTTATTAGTTTTAATGAACATTTACAGAGATTTTGGGTCCTCATTCATTCATTGTTGCACTGTTTTCTCTACCCTCCTCCCCAGTTCGTTCTTCTCCCCGCCCCCTGAATGTCTATTTTAATTGTCCAATTGCCACAGTGCTTGTCAAAGCCAGTTCTGATTAATCTCCTTTGTCAGTGTGTCCTTTGCCATTCCCTATCACTCCTCCCTGAGAGAGACTTCACCCTGAGTCATAAGGAAAAGGGGATGGCGTATTCTCTTAGCTACTTCCTGCTGAAAAGGGACGCTGTGGGTTTCAGGGTGAAGATCACGAGGTCTTTCTTTTGAGTTGCGCCTGGGCAAACTCAAACCTCCAACCTTCTGGTTACCATCTGATTGTTTGAACATTCATAGAGTTCATAAAAATGCTTAACATGACATAAAGATTTTGTCATATACAGACCATTTAGAGTATAAGCCTCATTTATTTTACTACATACAACCCTTTCTCATGCTTATGACCAGGAGCTGTGATTAAAATTATCATTTTTTTTAAAAAAATTGAAAAGAAATCTTAATTATTGTTGAAATGTTTTTAGTGCTTTGGAAGCACATAAAAGATTTTTGTGGTTAAAGTTAGAACAGCAAAATGTGATATCGTATTTCTTCTAAATCGGCCAAATTTCCATGTGCTTTTTATTGAGAATTTAAAACTTTCAAAATAAAATAAATTCATGGAACGATTTTCTGTTTATGTAAATCTACTTACATAAATAGTCATTGAAAAATAAAATAAATTCAAATGCAATTAACTTTTATCTGTGTTTTATAGTCCCTTAAGTCCATCACAGTAAGGTAAATGTTTGAGTTACTCAGCAAGATAACATGTAAAATTTAGGGGAAAGCCAGCATCTAACAGGTTTCAAATAGTAAAAAGCACTGCACCAATGAGAATGGGTAGGCTGGCCCCAAGGTGAAGGGAATTCAAAATTAAATGTTACAAAAATAAATGATCATGTTAAAGCATGGTGATGATCAGAAGGCCCAGTGGTCGGTCAGCAGGTTGTGTTTTAACTTTAATGTCTTAGCATTGGGTAGAAAGCTTCAAGTTGAGGACTGGGAGCAATGTATATTTAAGGAGACTTGGTGGTATAGTGTGTAATGCGCCCAGCTGTTCATGGAAAGGTTGGTGGTTTAAGTGCATGAACCGCTGCACAGGAGAAAGGTAGCAATGCCCTGCTATAAAGACATGGCTAAAAAAAAAAAGACATATGGCTTTGGAAATACAGTGGAAAGTCATTTGGACAGGGACTCACCTTGATAGCAGCCAGTTTGTTGTGGTTGTTTGTTTTTGTTTTTGTTTTCCTGGCAGGTAGCTCCGGTATTTTGGGCGTACAAAGAAAGAGTAAGTGCGTGAAAGGTATCTTGGCTCTCTAGCTGCCGGATTGGGGAAGGTTGATAGATTGAGTGTTCCCAGAAGTGCCTCAGAAGAAAGGCCTGGTGTTCTGCTTCTAAATGAATCCGTCATTGAAAGCCCTGTGGGGAATAACATTGCTCTGACACACGTGGGTCATCGTGAGTCAGGGCAACTCAATAACAGCTGAAGCAGGTCAATGGTTTCACACCATGAGCCCTGTCGTGGCCTGGAGCTGCTCGTTACTAGAGAGACAGATGCTTGTGATGTTAAGAGAAATCTCGGGAAGTGACTCATCACTTTTGGATTCTGTTATGAGAGGTTGAAGATATCAGAATATCTATTAAAATACAGTGCCAAGGCAGTTCTGAGTTAAGAGCAGTCCTTTTCTGGTTTCCAAAGTTATAAATCTTTATGGGAAGAGACAACCTATCTATCTTCTACAGAGAAGTTGGCAGATTTAGCTGCTAGCTTTTCATTTTGCAGGATGTTGATCCTACATCCTACGCCGTGAGAACTAGTCATCGTCACATCTAATCTATCCTACAGATCTATATAAAAAATAGAAGTGCCTAAGAAACATGTTCCTGGAGCTTGACACAATGTTCTTTTAACATTGACTATGTATGCATCTTTTTAATTAGGCGGAATCATTAAATACATTTTTAGGAATAAGGAAAATATTAAAAAAATTTAAGGACACAGTAGTCCCAGATGAGAGAGGAGGATATTATGAATATAGGATTAAGAGTATAGATTGTTGTGTACTGTGAGTTGGAACTGACCTCTGTAGGGTTTTCAGAGGCAGTTAATCCCGCGGGAGGAGATCACCCATCCTTCTCCTGCATAACAGCTGGTGGCCTCGAACCGAATGCCTTTGGGATTGGAGCCCAGGTTCTTGCCACTAAGCCACCAGAGCGAGCTCCCTAAGAGTATAGGAATAATCCTAATTCTGATTGGAAGCCACAGTCAAGAGGAGAGAATGGTTTATTCTAGAAAGAAAAGCAAATGAGCATGATAAGGAAATCACATAGACACTTAAAGTCTAGTGCTAGACTTTAGTGCTTAGATGCATAGCATGTCATTTACAATTTCCAATGAAAAACTCATTCTATTTGATGCTGCCTAAACCTATACTAGCCAATTCCAGGGCTACCACTTGAATGTCCAGGTCACCGTCAACTCATCGTGATGCTGTCTGACAGAGTATGGCTGCCCACGAGGGTTGTCTAGGCTGTAATCTGTGGGAGCAGACGACCAGGTCTTTACCACTATAGTCACTGGGCAGGTTTGAGTCACCAGCTTTTGGTTCACAGATGGATCACTGGTTGCCTAGAGAGGAAGGAACTGAGATGCCAACCCAGAGGCAGGTGGTTTGAATCCACCAGTCACTCTGAGGGAGAAAGATGGGCAGTCTCCTGCCGTGCAGTTCGAAGCCTCTGAAAATCTGCTGGTGGACCAGCTATGGGTCTGTTCTGACTCAATGGCAATGAGTTGAGTTCAACTGACTATAATCTAGAGCTCTTAAAAGGGGCAATTTTACTTGTAAGGACACTATTGAAAACACTGCCTCTGTTTGTACTGATACATGGAAACATTGGTTCATTGATCCCATACCATTTTCCTTAGCCGTGACCAAAGTTTTTAAAATGGGTGACCCTGGAGGACGTTATGCTGAGTGAAATATCTCAGTCACAAAAGGATAAATATTGCACAGGGTCACTGCTGTAAAACGGGACTGACATCGGGGTTGAGGGAAGACTGAGAAGGATATATATACTGCATTGAAACAGATGAGGGAGAGAACCGTTTAAAACGGATATTTGATTGGGTATTATTGTTATGACGGGAGTCCAGAATGAAGGCTGCACAGTGTAGTGGACTTGGAGGGAGGGATTGCATAACAATGAAAAGAGTTTTTCTTTTACTTTTCAAAGAGAAGAGCAAACTGGGTCGGGGAAGGGATGGGCAGGGAGAAAAGTGTAACAATGAATGACTGGAAAACCTAAGTCTCTTTAAACTTTCATTACAATTAATTAAAAAAAAAAAAGACTTGCCTTCGCTCTGCCTTCCAGCTCATAGCGGGCGTCTGAAGCCACCTGCTCGGGGCTGTGGAAGTGCCCCAGAGGGAAGCTCCTTCACGTATCACTGTTTCCTCTGCAGGGACCAGTTCAACCTGAAGCTGACCATGCTCAACCATCAGTGGCAGGGCGTGGTGCGCAGGGCCCAGCAGAGGCGCGGCATCATTGACAGCCAGGTCCGCCAGTGGCAGCGCTACCGCGAGATGGCAGAGAAGCTCCGCAAATGGCTGGCCGAGGTGTCCTACCTGCCGGCCAGTGCCCTGGGGAGGGCCCCTCTGCCGCTGCAGCAAGCGAGGACCCTCTTCGATGAAGTGCAGGTGAGGGACAGAGCACACTGCGTTCAGCCTCGCCTGGGTTTCCTCCGCCCACTCTACCCGAGTCTAAATTCTTCCCAGGGATTCCTGAGTGGCTGGCAGCGGGAGCCGAACAGGACCCACCAGGGTCAACAGAAATGCACCAAACAATTGAAGCACTAAGCCCGCATTTAATGCTGAAATGGCTGGAAAATCTAGCCTCACCAAAACTCCTTACATCTCCCACCCCAGGATCTCCCATGAATTCACTGAATCCCTGTGTGGATGGAAAGAAAGAGAAATTTAACAGTGTATGGTTTTCATTCATGATGTATTTTAACATGTAGTCTACATATTTATTGCAGAAATTATTATTTCCAGCTTTAAGTGTCACGTTCATTCCAGGCTGGACTCTTATTTTGACCAGTCTGTCAATTTGGACATCTTAGACAAACAGACAGAGATAGACACACCTCCTGGTGCACTGCACCATCTTTCCCAGCATGCTGTTCTTTCTCCTTAAAAGGCACTGTTCTTGTTTTCTTAAGTTCATTGGGAGACCACACACACACACACACATACACACCCTCTTCCCCTACTAGCAGAGAAGGGCCAAATTGCTATCTTCTGGTCCCTGCCATCTCCTGCACTTTTGAGCCATGGGCCCGACTTCTTTTTAGAATTTATTCCCATGTGCATTGTAGACACTGTATGCTCAGTGGGCCTACACTGAGTGTGATGTCTTCGGCTAACTATTCCGAGTCGGATTATGTTCCCTGTGTCCTAATTCAGAGAAAGAGAAGATGACTGTCAACAAGATGGATTAACACAGTGGCTGTAACTATGGGCCAGTCAGTGTATATTAAACATCTTGTGGACGGGGCAGGATAGAGCACGGTTCAGACCTGTTGTTCAAAGGGTCTGGTCTCTGGGGGCCGTAGTCAATTTGGACGGTACCCAGCAATAATAACAGGTTTTCATTAAGTAAATGTTGTTGCCAACTAGCCGGTGTATCAAGCCGAGAGCTCTACGTCGTTGTCCACCTGTACTCCTTCCCTCTTACTCGCACGTCTGTCCCCCACATCTACATCCCCACTCACTGCCCTGGAGCAGCTCATGATTTCTTGCCTTGACAGAAAGACGTTGCTGGCCCTGCTCACTCTGGCACGTGAGCACATCCATGTTCTTCCTTCGTTTCCTACCCTCCTGCTGAGTATCAAAACCCAGTTCTCGCAGAGAGAACCAGCTCATATCTCAGTAGCAGTAAGACCTTTTCATTGCTTCTCTGGGATCAACTTCTGCTTCAAGTGAGAAGTAGCTCCTCTCAGAGCCCTCTGGTTAAGGAGGTCTTTGTGTTATGTTTTGGGATTTTTGTTTTGGGGTTTGTTTTTTTTTTGCCTTTATATTTTGAAGTTTAATAACAGCAGATAGGAAAAAAAAACACCCCAAAAAAACAAACCCCAACCAAACAACCAACCAAAATACCAAGTTCTTATGCAGAGTTCCGTCCTCTCAGATTTTCGACCACACTCTTGTGTATTTTCTACCACGCTCTTGTGTAAGTCCTGTGTTCCAGCCGTTGGAAATCACATCCAGTCTCTTGAATAAGTCCTTACTTGTCTTGCAGAGTAGATCTGTCCATCCATGCCCCTCTCCCGTCTGTCTCCAGAAGACGCCCCCTCTCCCACTCTGACCCTCATTGCACTAAACCTAAGCTCACTTCTTGCTGCCAAGTCAATGCCATCGATGACTCTCAGTCAGGATAAACCTGCCCTGGAGGGTTTCCGAGGCTACACTCTTTAGGGATGCCAATGACCACATTTATCACTACAAAGCAGGTGGTAGATTTGAGCGTTCGCAACCAAGATCTTAGCATTAGCGCTCCTCATAGCCTGTCACACTCACTGGTTCACTGCGCTGCCTTCTGACTCACCATGGTCCTCCACCAGACTTCCCAGCCTGTAAACCCTAATGGGAGGCGACTGCCTCTCCTTCACCATGAAGCCCCGCTCCCAGAGACTCCCAGCCTCATGGTCAGTAGGACAGCACACTATGGGGCAAGCCGCCAGGGCTCCTCTTAATCTAACGGTGCTCATCATATGTCTTCCAAGGCTCATTCAAGCCTTACTATGAGGAAGCCTTCTGTGCACCCTGTACTAAAGCTTTTCTCATGGGCTCAAATCTAATCAAGCAGTTATTGCATTGCATTGGACTTTTATTTAACAATGGCTACTCTCACGGTGTCCTCATCCATTCATGTGTTGCTTCATTTGTATACAAGCCTGCTCAGTAAATGTTTGCTGTGTAAAAAAAAAAAAATGTATACTGCATTGAAACCAATGAGGGAGAGAACAGTTTAAAAGCAATATATTTTAGGGCATTATGATTATCATAAGAGTCTGGAATGAAGGTTGCAGAGTGGAATATACTTGGGGTGGTGGTGGTGGGGTGCAAGGGCATTGTATACCAATGAAGGGATTTTTCTTTTACTTTACAAAGAGAAGAGAGAACTGAGGGTGGGGTGGGCAGGGAGAAAAGTGCAACAATGAATGAATGGCGATCCAAAATCTCTGTAAACGTTCATTGAAATTAATAAAAAATAAAAAATATATCTCTATATAGATATCTAGATCGACAGATAGATCCAGATATAGATATAGAGCTAGAGATAGGATATATACTTAATATACTATTAAAATTTTGTAAATTTGATGCTGTTATTGCTAGGAGTCATTGGGTTTAATTCAACTCGTAGAAACCCCCAATGACAGAACCGAACTGCCCCATTGGGTTTTCTAGGCTGTAACTCTTTGAGCATGTTGTTAGGAGGGGTCAGTCATTGGAGAAGGACCTCATGCCTGGGAAGGTGGAGGGTCAGTGAAGGAAGGGAAGACGGCAATGAGCTGGAGTAACACAGTGACTGTAACGTTGGCTTAAGAGATGGTGAGAATGGGTGAGGTAGGGCGGGGTTTAGACCCCTCATTCAGAGGGTTGCTGTGTGTTGTGGTTGCCTCAGTGGCACTTAAGAACAGGCAGTAAGAGCAGGCCTTCAGATTTTCTCCTTTGGAGCCACTGGGTGGATTCGAACCGCCCAACTTTCCATTAGCACCAGAGTATAACATTAGATAGTGCACCTTAGATGAAAATTGTGTGATGTTTAAGAATGCTTTATACATTTTAAAAAATTATATATACTTTACTTTTTTTTTCTTTTTTAAAGTTAATGCTCTGGTTCCTTTCAGTTCAAAGAAAAAGTGTTCTTGCGACAGCAGGGAAGCTATATCCTGACGGTGGAGGCTGGCAAGCAGCTCCTGCTCTCGGCAGACAGCGGGGCCGAGGCCGCCCTGCAGGCTGAGCTCACGGACATCCAGGACAAGTGGAAGGCAGCCAGCTTGTACCTGCACGAGCAGAAGCAGCAGCTGGCCTTCCTGTTAAAGGTAAGCTCAGCTCTTCCCTCCTGCAGACAGGAGGAAGCACCTTGTCTTCAGGCCTGGGTTTCAGTGTAAAACCTCTTCCACTGGTAACACTGCTTCCTCCAGCCCTCATTCAGATAATACAGGACTCATCAGGGGCCCCATCCTCCCTGTCTTCAGACCTTGTTGTGTCTTGCACAAACTGAAAGTACATCCCAGTCCTTAGCAATTTTGTCTTCCAGAAAAGTCTCTCTACCAAGTGCCATTAAGTTCCACAAGATCTAACTTCTGAGGCAAGGCCAGTGCCAAGCTCGTAGCTGTCAGTTTATAAATTGATAAATTCATTCATGAGCACAGAGAGTGGAATCCCCTCCCCAATCTAAATCCCCTAAAGTGCTTTTCAAGATTGAAATCTCTTTGTTTGTAAGAGGGGAAATCCTACCCAAGGAGATAAGGCAGATTTGATCTTACCACAATGGGCCCATTAAACCTTCAATTGGATGCAGGTTAAATGGGGGTCACTCATTCAACTTAGGGGCATGTTGGTTTAGCTAGACCTCCCATGTGGTGCGCTTTCTTCCTCGCACTCCCCAGTTTTACACAAAATACATAAATATGTAGTTACGGAAGGGTTGTTGTTGTTGTTGTTGATTGCTGTCAAGTCAAGCACGACTCATAGCAACCCTATGAACAAAAGACCTAATGCCTTTCCATAACTATTGTCATTTCTCCAAGTTCATAGAGTTTCCAAAAGCATGTGATTTAGAAGTGATGCCACTCCTGCTTCCAAACCTGTTTTACAACTGGGAGCTTCACCACACACTGTCCACATTGGGAAACCATTATGGTGCTTGATACCCCAGTGGCAAAAGATTCAGCATCACAGCAAACCCAGATTACTTTGTACAGCACATTGACAAAGAGTAATGCACAAAGTGGAAGAATGTTTCTCCAAATATAACAACAGTAGTCTCACTTAGCAGTGGTTAAATGTCAAGTCGAATACAACTCATAGCGAACCTTGCACAAAAGACTTGATTTCTTTTCTGTAATTAACATCATTTCTGTACATTTATAGAATTTATAATTTCCAGAGTCATCTAGTTTAGGAAGTGGATACTGCTCCTGTTTTCCAACCTGAATCAAAAGAGTATGGGTTCTAAACTCATTAAGCACCATTATTATTGTTATTGTGTGCTTTTAGGTCAAGCCCAATTCATTACTGACCCTACAGCGGAATTTCAGAGGCACTTATCCCCATCGGGGAAGACTGCTCTTGTTTTTTCCGTGCAGCAGCTGAAGGATTTGAACTGTGTGCTTTTGGGTTGACAGTGCAATGCCTTACCACGAGTGACAACTAAGGGAGCCCTGGTGGCTTAGTGGTAAGGAATTGTGCAGCCAACACAAAGGTACGTGATTCAAATCCACCAGCTGCACCCAGGAGAAAGATGGGCAATCTCCTCCCATGAAATTAACTGCCTCTGAAAACCCATTGGAGGGTCAGCTCTGGGTCAGGCCCGAGTCACTGGTATACAACAACAACAACAAGAGTGACAACTAAGTGACAAACCCACAAAGTCACATTAACTATGTTGTTCCGTTTAGCTAAGCCTCAGTTTCTTCATCTGTAGAATGAGTATAATAACACCTCCTTCATATGATTGTGGGATAATTTAATGAAATAATGAAGGTAAATTATATTGCAGAGTTTGTGACATAGATTGAGCAGTTAATCAAAGGCAGTAATTATCTTTGTTGATGTTGTTATTATCATTATTTAAAGCAAGAAAGGCTACACACTGAAATTTTACATAGATTGATATAACTAGTTACATTTTAATGAGGTTTTCTATTTGATTTAAATTTGTCACTACAATGAATCAAAATTTAGAATAAATTTAAAATGGAATAGATGCTGCTTTTTTGAAGTCGGCATATCGAGTTTATTCTTTTGAATTTTGTTTTAGAACGTATTAAGTTCTGTCTAAGAAACAAAAATACCACTTAACATCTGTAAAGACTTTTATTTGCATACAGCACAATTTATCATTAATACAATGCCATTGCTTTTCCCTTCTTTCATACTTTCAGGAAATGATTAAATACATTGTAACTCATTCTGTAGATGAATCTTTCTTGATCTGTGATGTGATTTTTGGACATATTCCCAAAACTTAATAGACTGTAATGGTTGAATCACTGTGTTTGCTTTTCATGTCAGTTTAAGGGAGTGTAACATGATGTTACTTTCTTATAATTCATGCAGTGAAAAGATTTACTGAAGTTAGCTTTAGAATCTAAGTTGGCTTGGCTAGGGGGAATTTCTATTCTTCTTTTGTTAAAGTTTATTTTCTTTTGGATCATAAATTAGATCCTGTTTGCCCAGAATTTATGAAGCTAAAGTTTAATGTTTATTCAGCATCATTTGAGTGTATCCTTCAACCACAGCTATTATATTGGTCTGTTCTTAACTCTTAATGACTGAGTGAATATGCCAGAAATAGAGTCAATATAGTACTCTGTCAACCAGACTCATGTCCTTGACAATATTCTCTTTCTTTTCTTATGAGACATTAGAAGTAGACCTCATTTCTTTTAGATCACTGAATATTTTTTCTCTTTTTTAAATTAATTTTAATGAAAGTTTACAGAGACTTAGGGTTTCCATTCATTCATTGTTGCACTCTTCTCCCTGTCCTCCCCTCCCTCAATTCACTCTTCTCCTTGAAAAGTAAAAGAAAAATTGTTTCATTGTTATGCAATCCCTCCCCCCAAGTCCACTATACTACCTTTGTTCTGGACTCCTGTCATGACAATAATACCCGAGCATATATCCCTTTCAAACAGTTCTCTCTCTCTCATCTGTTACAATGCAGTATACACCATTCCTCCCCGCCTACTCCGTCTTCCCTAAGCCCTGATGTCAGTCCCGTTTTACCACAGTGACCCTGTGCAGTATTTGTCGTTTTGTGACTGAGATATTTCACTCAGCATAATGTCCTCCAGAGTCACCCATTTTGCATAACATTGCATGAATTCTTTGTTTTTCAATTCAGCGTAGTATTCCATTGTGTGAATATACCAGAGCTTCTCTATCCATTCGTTTGTTAATGGGCACTTGGGTTGTTTCCAGCTCTTTACTACTGTGAACAAAGCCACGATAAACATGGGTACACATTGTTGTTGTTGTTACGTGC